GTTCAGAAACAGGATCAGTAAATTCACTAACTTCCCTCAATCTCATCAATGTTGGCGCCAAAGCCGGCGTAAGCACATTAAAGGTAGAAAAGAAATACGGGAATGGTACGGGGGCTCTGTCAGCACAAGGACCCAGCGCTTCCGGTGATGTAGGTGTGCAATTCAACCATGAACGCATCGGAATCAACGCCATGGCAGAAGCGAGCGCTGCCAAGGCCAAAGCATCAGCAGGACCGGCATTTGTTGAAGCCAACTTGAACGCTAATACGGGTGCCAAAATCGGAACAGATGGCGTCAAGTTTGGAATTTTGGGATTTGGACTTACTCTGGGTGTAGGGGGGCGCTGGTCCGTTGATTCTCCCGTGGGATCAGTCGGTGGGAATACAGGAGGCTCTTCAACGCCAACGCATACGCATACACATATGCATACAAATACCCACACGAATACGGAAACAAATATGAACACAAATTTAAATTAAAACGTTCGTTACGCATGATTTCTGTAAATGCGATAATATCTATTTAACCTTTATTTCAATTACTCGCAAGTCTGTTCTTTTTTAATAAAGCATTGAATAATTAAACGTAGTTTAACTTTATTTTTACATTACCTGCATACGACAGTCTTCAAATAATACCCGCATTCAACGTAACAAAATTGTTGTCATCAATTGTCTAAAAGTAACAATTTTAACTTTAATAGTGACCCTAAAACAATGCCACTTACCTATTTGACAGAACTGTCAAAAATGTCACTAGATCCACGGCTCGTAGACAACACGGTGGCCTCATCACGGTTACTAAGGACGAAGTGACGTCACGGAATGCAAAAGTGAGTTGAAAATATTTTACTTGGTGTCGTACATTAGTTTTTTAAAAAATCTAATATTTTGTTGTTATTTAGTGGTACTTATATTTTAATTTTTGAACCCTGTTCTGGTGTTAGAGTTTTTGTAATATTGTTAGTGTGATTTTTAAAAGACAAGCTACAAACAGCAAGGAAAAATCATGAACTGATTTGCATCGGTTGTTTTAATGTTTGTAAGGAACCATCTCGTCTGCTTTTAAATATAGGATGGACAAAGCTGCTATTAATTTAAAAATGGTGAATGGCATTTTCAGAAAATCTTACCCCAGTATATACACCAATCAGTATTGGCACTCTGAGGCGGCACGTTTGATCTTTAAAAGTAGAAATTTTAGTTGACAGTTGACGTTTTCGGGATATGAAAAGTTTTCTTTACACGGACTTGGTATACCTGGTTAGTTGAATTTTTGTTCTGCTGCTTTTCAAATTTGTGTGTATGAGCGAGATGTGAAATACCTTTATAGACAACGGTTGAACACTTTAATTACTTTGAAGAAGAAAATAGATTAGATATCAGGGCAGTCTTCGCAAATGTGAGAAGGCAGAACCGTTTTAAATTTTTTTTATATATGTGAAATATTACCTTTTAGTGAAAAGTTTAATTACTTTTAGTTCAAAATATAACATTAGCTTGTCAAGGAAAATATATAACACACAAGGTTAGAAAAACAAAATAGAGGTTTTGCTTTATTTCTTAAGAATTACTATAATCTAAAACTTTTCTATGTTGTAGAAATTTATTCTATACGTTATTTAGGTACTTACTGCAAAATCTATAGGAAAGTATGTAGTTTTAAATATAAAAATTTATAATGGAGACATATTTAGTGTAGTTTTTTTTACAAATATATACTCAGTGACTTGTTTTAGTGAATGAGTTCAAGTATGGCAGACTAAAATCGTTACTTTTTATTATGAATTTATTTAAAAACTATATGTATATGGTTTTCGTAGCTATTACACTTGTAATAAAAATATTAAAGTTATGTTTATTGACCATTTACTGCACACAGCAAATTCATAGACACTATATATATCGCACTATTTGACATTCTTATTAAACTCATTAATTTAAAATTAACTTTAAACTGAGTACACACAGAATTGTTTGAAAGCAGCCATAAGGTATAATTTATTTATTGGATACTATAAAAAATTAATAGTAGTTTCATGTAGAGTTAAGTAACAAGAACTTTAAAAACAAAACAAACCTTTATATCTAGTGAACTTAATTTAGTACAGTCCTCATCTTTCTTAGGCTAACATTAAAGATATCTATTTGGACCTCGCAAAAAAACTCATTGGTAACAGCCATTATCTTGTTAAAAGGAGATATACTACTTGGATCTAAACTAAATAATTTTTTGTTACTTGGGATTCTTAGATTAATCTTTGCCACATTAAAATTTATATAGTCTATCAAATCACAATCTTTGTACTTAACATTATTTAAAATTGAGTACAAAATATATCACAAGCTGTTGCTTTCTTCTTTGTAAAAGAGATTTAATCTTAAAACTATTCAGCATAGTTTTATATGAGATCTTATAAAGGTAAAAGTATTTTTTATGGCATAAAGGTAGGGTAAAAATATGTTTTGTACTTTTTCACTATGATCAATATGTGTGGCTTTCAAGGGCATCCATATTTGTGAAACATACTCAGGATGGGATCTTAGTAAGGCATTATATAATCTGATTTTGGTGGTAATTCTAAAATATTTTTGTATTTCTGATTTAAAAACTCCAAGCTTTTATTGTTTTTTTAGTTATGTGTAAGAAATGGTTATTAAACTTCAAATTAGACTGAAAGACAACTCCAAAATCCTTTACTTCATATTCAGGATTTAATGTGACATTACAGGTCTTGTGTCTAATGTAAAAAATTAAGAGGCTACGGATCCTTACAACTTAAAATATGCATATGTTTGTAAGTGTTAAATGGACGGATAAAAAGTGTTGTTTTTATTTACAACTATAATAAGAAAGATATTATTTTTGATACCTGATAATCAATAAACAATATATTTTTTGGAGTAGTAACAGATTTATTAATACACAACTATTATTTTGTTACAAATATTTATAATATATTTATAATTAACATAATAGTTTATATAAGTCCTTTAAAAATAATATATTTTGATTTAATTGTTGAATTTATACATGAGCAATTTCCTTGTAGCGTTGTTTATAATTTGCAGAGAACCATGGGCGTCGTTTGGGGGGGGGGGGCAAGGGGGGGCAGTTGCCCCCCCTGGCTTTTACGGCTTAATCAACAACGCATAAGATATTATGCATTACGAACAACAATCTCATAGAAATAATATTCAGGCTAATATAGTTGAAGATATAGGTTGAATATATTTATTGCATATCTGGGTTCCGCTTTTCCAAAGACTTTGTTAGTTTTTCCTTAAGCATGTACATCTCAAAAACAAAAAAAATACTTTTTTCACTACCGATAACAAAATGAAAAATTTGGAATCGACAATTTTGAAGCTGAATACTAAACTGGAATACGAAAGAGCTTTCTGCACACAATGAGCTCTCCGTCCAAATATTGTGAATTTTATTTAGACATACAAAATGGTTTAAAAAATATTTATGGCTCTTCCACCAACGACAGAGTTAATCGAAAGAACGTTTGGAACACTTAGGCATGTTAAAACATGGCTGCGGTCCATTCGATCAGTGCTAAGACATGGTATGGGAAGTAAAAGCGATACTTGCGCAAGCTGCGAATAATTCGAGTATTTTAGGGCGATATTTTGTAATTTTGGCATATCAAATACACGAATACATTTTACTTTTTATTAAAAAAATAGGTAAAAACCATAAAATGAGCAACCGGAGTTGCTATGTTGCAAATTATACTAGCAAAAAGACTGTAAATTATATGAATTTTCAGTAGCAAAATCGAAATTAAATAAAAGAAATAAATGGACAGCTGTATAATAAGAACAAAAAATTTTTATTTTTGTAATAATTAAGCAATTATTTTTTTATGATATTCTTTAACATCCCTTAAATCTTAAAAGTTTAGTAAATGATAAGATTTCTGCCTTTAATTATTGTATATGGCTGACATGCAATCTTGTGACTTAATGATAGGAAACCAGTTTTATTCATTAATTTCTATGGGTTCTTTCGAACTAAAAATGAAGAAAATATAAATTACAATCGTAAATATACCAATTATTTTTGTTATTACGTTTTAATTCTACGTTATTATATAATGGTAATATTTTTATTTTGACATTATTTAACCTATTCTTCAATGACAACTTATTATGCTCAGGCAAGATCTCTATTTACGAGAAAATGTAAATACCTGCCTATGTTTTATTATTGATTTTTATTGACTTTTTTTAGCTAAAGTAATAAAATTATATAATAATAATAATAATAATAATAATATTTTCACTTGTTTTAAAATTAAAATTTACATATATATTTCTTAATTACGATCTCTAATAAAAATTGTATTGTCAGTATACGCACATATCGTCCGTTAGTTATAAAATAGTTGGCGTTGCTGTCACGCACGGAGTGAATAATGAATGAAAATAGGCTCACTGAAAAATTAATTATGTTTTCCGTTATCTATGTTTTTAGTAGAGAAAAAAAAAATTTTAATGCGTTTTCCTAGTGTTTTTTTGTATTCATTGACATATTTGAGAGAGTTTTTTATGTTTTTTTTTTTATAAATTTTTATTTTTAATATTATTATGTTCATATTTTTCTTTTATATCACACCTTCTGTTTGTTTTTTAAAAATGAGCTTTAAGTTTCTTGTTTTTTTTATTTTTGTTTTTGTCTTTTTTGTTTGGTTATTTTATTTATTAAAGACTCGTTATGACAACTTAAGTATCAGTTCTGTCAAATGGGTCAGTGACATTGTTAGGGTTACTACTAAAGTTCCACTCCCCTTATCTTCACTATTCAGTGAGATATCTGATTAATTTTGTTTTGTTTGAAAAACTGGAACAAACATTTTCTTTTGATTGATTCAATTATTCTGTGACGTCCTGGCTTACTTCCGTTTTTTCCGGAAATAACGAAAATCGAAATTTTTTATTGTTAAATGGAGACCCTCTCTTTTATTGTAAATTTAAAAATGTTTGTATATTGTATCAGCTGTCAAAATGGCCGCCATATTGGATAATATTTTTTCTAAACATGTCACTATTAATTCGTTTATGGAAAAAATATAATAATGTACGATCTTTATAAAATCTTTGTAAGATTCAAAATTCCCATTGAGACCCATTTATCGTATACCA